TCCGTTTTGCCATTCTCCACACCAAGAAACAAATTAAGTCAATCCCTCGACAAACGTTATGCCGAAAACATTACACACTAATTCCTCTTTCTGTCCTGGCCTATCTATCTACTCTTTACCCTCTTATCCCACAGCCACCCGATCACAAATAATGACTTGTTTACATTCCACTCGTCAGAATGTGTGCCATTTTGTGGCAAAATGTACTAGAAATCCACTTGAGATGCCGCATGCGACCAGATATAGGCGTCCATAGTTTGCTCAGATAACATGGTTTTAATCAAGGACTCGGGAAGGGAAGGTCTGATACCTGCAAGCATGGGAATCTGAGCTTAGGCGCTCTGCTCAGTGAAGCGGCAGTGTACGTGAAATGCAGACTGGGACTGGAACCGAGTGAAATCGGTCAACCAGAAAGAGAAGGAACAGATCTACGAGACAATGAAGGGATCCGAATTGGAGGCTCGAGTCGGATCAGACGATCGAAAGAGAGGCGATCGGGGTGAATAGCAAGTGTGATGAGACTACATTAGATTTGCCACAAAAGAGCACAGATTTTCACGAGGGGAATGTAAACAAATCAGAAGTTGTGATCGGGCGACAATGGAATAAGAGGGTAAAGAGTAGATAGATAGGCCAGGAGTGAGTGTAACCGTTTTCGGCAGAACGTTTGTCGAGGATTTAACTTCACTTGTCTCTGACGCGTTCGTAGCTTGGTGCGAAGAATGGCAAAACTGACTGATGATGCTGACTACGTCGGAGAAACATTTGAGAATGTACCAAGTCTACTGTCTGATGCTGGGAATCATGACAACTTATTTGGCAGACGACTTCGGACTAGGTGCGTTCTACTAAGTCGCCCTGACAAAAAGACCAAGTTGCGAAAGCGAGGTCAACCCACTTCTATAAATCGAAAGGAGACTGCGGCCATACCAGAGGCCACAACATATTAGTCTTCATATCTTAAATGCCGAGTATTGTTTGATTGCAAATCATGGTACGATTTTGAAGCATGAAAAGAAAATGAAGGAATTAGAGAATTCAATAAATCACTCTCTAAGAGTAAATCTATGCTCTCCTATTTATTTGGAATTAAAGCATTTAGGAATAAATGGACATTACTGGATTGAGTAAGAATCAGGAGAGATATTATGTGGTTACACATAGAATTATAAGTTAAGATTTCATACTGAAGAAAATACTGCAAATTCATTAGAATAACCAACATGTCATGGGTTATATTGAATACAAGACGGAATAGACTCGTTTTTAGGCTTAAACGAGGACATGAGTGAGTGAGGACATTAATGAACCTACTCTGGAAAATTTTTATTAAACAGCCATATCAAGGTCGAATATGAATTTACATCTGATTAGGTTAGCGTTCGTAATTGGATAAGTTGAGGCTACACATATGCCTTATAGCTAATGCAAACGAGAGTTTGTATGGGTTAATTCTTATTTACCATGATTGTCTCCATTATGATCGGGGTCAGCATGAGTTGTTTGTGCAGATATACCGTACAGAGCATTTTGTGTACTCCATGCTGACGCCAGCATTGAACTCGCCTTCTTCTCACTACACTCGCTCGGAATTAAAGTTGTTGTAGTCGTTGTAATCGTTGTAGTCGCCGTGCTTGAAGTCTGTTCTACCGAAGTCACTAGCACCGAATCTCTCTTGTCTGTCAGACGTCTTACGATGGGCACTTTGGCGAAATGAGTATCCAGAGAGCTGAGCGAAAGGGGACGATAATGCTGCGAGCTGGTGGGGCGCTCAAATGAAGTGCAACTGGTCTGATGAACCAAGGAAGTAGAGGAAAGAGAAGAGGTCAACGAAGTTCCAGTAGTGTCCTGACTAAGATGGCTGCCATGGTAGCAGATACAGCAGTGGTGGCAGCTGCAACAGCAGCCACAGCAATAACAGCCTGAAGAGGCTGAGCATGCACTCTGGCCCCAGGTTGCCACCCCAATACCCTCCATCTCTCCGGCTGCCGAATTATCAGTCTCGGTTTCAGGATTCACATTGCATAGTTGCCCCTCTGTATTTGGCGATAATCGTGGCTCCACTTGAATAGGGGTTGCGGGG